AGGTCACCTGTCATCCGCTGCCCGCTGGATGAAGTGACCGACCAAGATGGCCTAGGAGGCACCGAGCTTCGCTCCTGTATGCTGTGAATTAGGGCAAGCCGGAGTCGAACGAAAAATGCGTTGTTGAAATTTGAGCTGCGGAGAGCGTCTGAGCTCGATGTGAGGCTGAGCAAAGCGGATGCGGAACATGTCGAGAAGTGCTGGAGCGCAATGAGCTGCAGCAATGCGCAGCATGCGGTGCGACGACCAAAGGACGATTAGAAGGCGGCGGTGATACTCGAGCTGAGCAATGCCACACTCACCTTTAGAGCTTGACGAATTGTTTCGATGTCCGCGTCTAAGGCTTTGTATTTGGTTTCCAATTGCGCCCAGCACTCGTAGCTCACCAGCAATGGCGGAGGTTCGCGCGGTCGAAACCAAAGCTGGGATAGATCATTTCGATCATCAGCTTCGCTCGGCTCTCCGTGCATATCAGTCTGATGGCAAGTTGCCGCTCACAGATTGAACAACAGCTTCCCAGACTGCCTGGTCATCGGGTAGATCGATGGCGTGCACGTCCAGATAGGACTTGGTCGTGGCGGGCAGCGGTAAGTCGTGACTAGCCAAGTCATTCTCTTCCTTTGAGCTTGCGGAACAACGCCTAGAGTCCGAAAAGATGATGCAAAGTCTCGGGGCACGATCGTGTATCCAGCCCTGGGACAGCCCAAAGAAAGAATGGAGCGCTTGGAGGAGATCTTGCAGTGCTCCGAGAGGATGTTCGGACACCTCGGGAAGCGAAAGAAAGACTGTGCGAGCTGCGAAAGAGACAGCTTTGGCGTCAGTCAGTAGACGTGTGGACGAGGAGGATGACTTGGGCTCGATTCGAGATGCGCGCACCTTTGCATGCTCTCTGCAAGCTCCACAGAGTGGCCAAACGCGAGGGACCGCCGCCACCTGCCTGCGCATCGTGAGCGTGTTCATCCCAAAAGCCGCCAGCCGCACATGCTCTTCTGACAAGGCGGACAAAGAGATCGACACCCTGCGCATGAGTCTCGTAATCGTCGGCATTCATCTGTAAGAAAATATCGCGCTCTCGTGGTCCAGAGGATGCAGCTGGATGAGAATTGCATGTGAGCATGCGCTTAAGAATTTGAGTCGGCACACGGGCACCACCTTTCAAGAGCACTGTTCGAAGCACTGGGCCATTCGATGGCTGCGGGAGCCAAAATGAAGGAGCTGAAGCTTCCCCGCCCGAATTTGCACTTGAGGTGTTCTCATCGGCCCAGTGCTTCAAAGCGCTCAGCGTAGAAGCATGTACTGATGCGAGGCCATGCTGCAAGAAAATCGAAAAGGCAAGCCATTGAGGTGAGCCCGAAGTTCTTTGCTGGAATTGGTTACAGGCAATAAGAAGCGTCATCATTCACCTTGAATGCCCGATCTATCCATCTGTGCGCAGCTCTCAGATTGCTCTCTCGTCTTCGTGCAGGCACTTCGTCATTCTCGAAGGCTTCCAATCTCTGCAATCCGATTTCAGGTACTGCCTTGCGGTGCTGTGCATGGAGCTGGCGTGCGCGAGTGGATTTGTGAGCCTGGGCGGCTCCATTGCACGGGATGAAGTAGGTGGAGCGAGCTAGCTGGTCCAAATCTTCACTTGCAGCGGCCATCGCGCAGCGAATCCGAGCATGTGCTAGCACCATTACATGAGAATGGGGACGCCAAAAGTAGAGGAACCAGAAAGAAGGACAAAGTGGTCGAGGCCTTTCACAATTGCCTTTGTCGGAGTCAGGAGGTAAGAGATGCTTGGTGAGTTGGGCGACGGATGATGGATCAGCTACAGACCGATCCCAATTCCAAGAATCACGAATGATGCTCAAACTCGGGCTCCGTTCTGATGCGGAAGCATCCAGGTCGAGGAGACATCATCTGAAGAAGCGGCTGCGCGGGGGCCATTCGTGACTTTGACTGTGACTGATCGAGAAGCGCACGAGAAGATCGAGTGGCAGCGCACGTGACAAGGCAGCTGGGCGCGTTGGGATGCAACTCTTGACTCACACACGACTGTGTGATGCGTGCGTGCGATTCGTGATTCGATTAGTCACACCCAAAGTCGGTCAAACGACTTTGCTCGCTCACTCTCAACGCCTGCCGAATCACGATTGGTGAGGTGGCGCCGACAAACTCTACCATCTGACCCATTCGAGCT